CTGAACCATCAGCCCAGAGCCCGACGCGGGGCTCGAACTCACGGACCGCGAGATCGTGACCTGGCTGAAGTCGGACGCTTAACCGACTGCGCCACCCAGGCGCCCCGAGTTTGACAATTCTTTATAGACTTTGGATACTAACCCTTTATCTGGTATGTCATTTGCAAATATCTTCTCCCATTCTGTTGGTTGCCTTTTAGTTTTGCTGATTGTTTCCTTCACTGTGCAGAAGCTTTTTATTTTGATGAGGTCCCACTAGTTCATTTTTGCTTTTGTTTCCCTTGCCTCTGGAGACATGTTGAGTAAGAAGTTGCTGCAGCCAAGGTCAAAGAGGTTTTTGCATGCTTTCTCCTCAAGGATTTTGATGGCTTCCTGTCTTACATTGAGGTCTTTCATCCATTTTGAGTTTATTTTTGTGCATGGTGTAAGAAAGTGGTCAGGTTCATTTTTCTGTAAGTTGCTGTCCAGTTCTCCAGCACCACTTGCTGAAGAGACTGCCTTTATTCCATTAGATATTCTTTCCTGCTTTGTCAAAGATTGGTTGGCCATACGTTTGTGGGTTCATTTCTGGGTTCTCTATTCTGTTCCATTGATCTGAGTGTCTGTTTTTGTGCCATTTTTTAGTTTTTAAGTAATCTCTACACCCAGCATGGGGCTTGAACCTACAACCTTGAGATCAAGAGTTGCACTCTCCGCTGACTGAGCCAGCCAGGCACCCCTGCTTCTTAACTTTTATCACGATATGTATTTTAATTTGTTTATTCACTTTTTTTGTGCCTGTTACCCTCTGAATGAGTTGTGCTGGAAAAATTTTATCCATGGAACTCTTACTCATGGGCTATCTCTTAATGGGTTGTGGAGGACGGTAAGGGAGTGTGACAAGTGGACAAGGGAGGGGCAGCAAAGAAGCCGCCTACTTTGCCAGGGCTGAGGTTGGTGAGAGGGGTTGCTAGGACTTCCAGGGCGTGGGCTGTAGGATGTTGGCATGGGTGTCTATGAGCTGACAAACTAGTTCCTGGAGTTCCTTCCTAATATGAACATACAATTCATCTGTACTCTTCCTAGGGACGTGGAGGTAGAAATCATTATTCCCACTGCCCAAGGGGCCCACACAGGGACAGGATTTGAATCCAACCAAATCTCTTTAACTTCAGAGCTAATGGTCTTTTTCCTATACCTTCAGATCACACATTTTGGTGGGTAACATATGTTTCTGATTCTCTAGGTCTAAGCTGAACTCAGCCACCTGCTTTTGGTGATTTGGATATTAGTTGTCCAGTGGATGTCACTGGGAGTCTCCTGTTATGGAAGTAAATGAAATTTGAGGTTCAAAGACCTTCTTAATAGCCTCTAATGAAAATAGACCATTATCATTAAGAGCAAAAGAGCAAGGCACATAGATATAAAAAGGGAAGGAATAAATGGATTTGCATTTGCTTCAGCGTGCAGAGAAAACCTTTAGATGATACACAGAAACTAATACCATGGGAGGGGAATGGGTGCAGAGGGACATGGTGAGAAGAGGCCTTTGGCCGTATGGCCTTTTGTAACTTTCAATTTTGTCTCTTGAAAATTTAATATGTATGCAAAAAAATTAAATGGAAAACATCCATGTACTAGTGATGCCGATATAAATGATTAACATTCTTGGCCTTGGACTATCTGTCTGTTGTCTTATCACCCTTATGTGTCAGGCTCTTCTTGCCAAGAAGCCAGTTTTGGGCACACCATGTGGACACTGCAGACAAATTTCCCATAGGCATACACGGAAATTAGAATTATAATGACATTATATATATTAAATTTAGCTACCCAGTGTATTACATAGGGTTTCTGACTGTCCGGACCTTGTATCGTACCGTTCCTATGGGATTACGTGTTCCAAGTTTCCTAAAATATGGACTTCTTAAATGAACATAACACAGCTTTCATGAATTGTCATCATTTAGGTAAAACATACCTATGACTAATTAAAAAAAAACAAACGTTTTGTTCAGCATTTTCACCTTCATGTGGGTAGAGCTGCTAACTTTTGGTGTCGAAAAGGGAAAAGTCAGGCTTTAGTTTTAAAAGAGAAAACTGACTTTCTGGATGATGACAGAAGTGAGGAGTGTTAAGACATAATTCTGTAATTCAAGCAGACTCTTAGGAATCAAAGAGATTCTTTGATGATCCAATTGCCTACTTAAAAGAGAGGATTTTTTCCCCCTCTTCCGTTCTCTCTAGGATAACTGGTATTATTCCTCTGACTAAAACGTGGCTTTCAAGAGAAAGAAAGCATGCACTATGCCTTTGCACTTAGTGCATTTTTCTCCTGTGGAGTTTCTTTCAGTTACTCCATTAGAGCAAGATAAGTGATTCTGCTCCTTAGTGTCACATATGGTCATGTCTAAGTGAGGCCTGATGTTTAGCTTAAGAATATTTTGGCTTAAAGGCAGCAAATGAGGTCTTCAGCTTCTTTAAATCGTAGGGAGCACCATACGACTGCCTGAATAGCACTGGAAACAGTATACTGATGACGGGGCACTTCTCTGTCTCAAGAGCCCTGCTAATTGAAGATGTGTCACACCTCCCCTTAATTTAAGCATTCTGCTTTGCAAATGAGGACTGCTTTTTTACATTCGTGCTTGTTCCTTCCAAGCACATCCTGCGTGCTGGCTGTGCTCCACAGCAAGGAAGGTACAGGGACCGTTTCGGGGGATGACGCACCTAGCACGTGGCTGGTACATGGCAGTCCTCGATGCGCGACATTATGATACAAACACAGTAAAAGGAAGATACGTTTGAACTCAGGTTCCCCAGAAGCAGACCCTGACACGAGAATTTGAGAGCAAAGGATTTCCCAAGGAAATGTTCCCCAGAGGAGGGAAGTGCTCCCCAGAGGAGGGAAGTGTTCTGGAGAGGAGGGTGTGGAATAGGGAACACAGCCTCAGCCTAATCCTTGGGAGCTCTGGCGAGGAATGAGCCTCAGAGACTATAAGCCTCCGGGCTCCCAGGCCCCGCAGGCCTTAAAGGGAGGGAGCTAGGCTTGCAGACTCCCATACTCCCGGGGAAGGAAGCGAACTCCCAGACACTTGTGCTCTCAGTCCCAGCGGGTGAAGTGGTTACAGAGGTTGGGCGCGGTGCTTCAAGCAAAGCCCTAGCACCAGCCTTCAGAAGCAAAGTCCATAGAAGCCAGGCGAAGGATGCACAGAACCTACAAAAGAGACCCGAGGGGGGGGGGGGGCCAGGGAGGGCACCCGCCAGGTCTGCTGAAAGGTCAAGGGAGAGCCTGCCTCGTGGGTATGCGCCGGGTGCAACCGGGATTGCACTTGATACTGGGATTCAATGCGCTTGGGATTCAATGCGCTCCAGTGACCATCTTGAACTTCTTCCTTTGATCTACTGTATGTTTTGTAGGTGAAGTCCGAGGGGACAAGGGAGCACGCGCAGCCCCTCCTTCCACCACCTGATGCCTCCCTGGGCCCGGTTCTCAGGCACTGGTGTAGCTGCTCCGACCCCGGTGCCCGGTGCCCCCGTGGCCTTCCCTACCCCTCCTTGCCCCGCAGCCGTCGCTGCCCTCTGCTTGGGCGGCCGCTGTTGTGAGGGTGCGGGCTGCGGTGGGCAGGGGAGGCCAGGGTTTCCTAGCTGCTGTCCCACCTCCAGAGGGCCTGGCAGGGTGGGGTAGGAGGGTGGGGCGACGTGGGGGTGGGTTTGGGGAGGCCTGGGACATCTCTGGGTGAAGGCTGACAGCTGTCTTCACCACGCAGGACACACCCTCTCCGGCTGTGACCTGAGTGCCCAGTGTGCCCTGGCACGGAGGCTTTCACCCCTTGGGGGCACTGCCCATCCACTGTGGAGTGCAGTGCCAGTCCCGTGGGAAGGGGAGACTGACTGACCCGTCGGCCGGTGGCGGGCAAGAGGGGATCGTGGCAGACAATGGGTTGTGCGCATGTGTGTGGCCACACCAAGCTGCAGGGCAAGGGCCCTGGTCACCTGTGAGGGTCCGCACTCACCTCATGAGTACCCCCACGAGACCTGACGAATGTCCGCGCGCCCGCAGAGTGTGGAAGTCAAGAGCCGATACCACCCCAGGTCGAGACAGACTCTGTAAAGAAAGGAAAACTTTCTGTATGTTAATAAGTTTAAGAGCACTTTTCCCTGTTGTTTTGTTTTGTTTTGTTTCGTTTTACATTTTCCTTTTGCATTGAGCTCTGCCAATTAGATAGCCAGCCTGGGTCAAGGTAAAATAATCTAAAAAAAAAAAACCACCCCATTAATTTAAATTCTAGTTAGTTAACATACAGTACAAGATTGGTTTCAGGGAGAGAATTCAATGATTCGTCAGGAGGTAAGGTCATTTTTAATAGAGAGGCGTTTGTAGCAGGTCAGAACAGGAGGAAACATTTTAATGCCCACCTCAGGAAAAGTAATAATTTAAGAAAATTCAAAATGAATTACCATTTATTAAGCTTTTATATGCCATCCATTGTACAAATTACCTTATTTATCGCTTTAAGCTTAACAAAAACCCTGCAGGCCATAGATGATAAAGCCAGCTCTCAGAAGTGTTCCATTTGCCCCAATGCACAAATGGATGGAGACTCAAGGGCGACTGCAGAGCTCTTAACTTCTATGCCAGCGCTCTCCAATAGAAATACAATGTGAGCCATGCCTAATTTTAAATGTTCTAGTAGTTACATTGAAAAGATAACCCTCAGCAAAGTAGGTTTAGAGAGAAGACACCTCAACAGAATAAAGGCCAACTATGAAACCCCCCCAGCAAACATCATACTCATTGGAAAGAACTGGCTACAGCAATCAGACAACAAAAAGAAAAAAAAGGCATCCAAGTCGGTGAGGAAGAAGTCAAACTTCCACAATTTGCAGATGACATGAGATTCTATAGAGAAAACCCTAAAGATTCCACCAAAAATCTACTAGAACTGATGCATGAATTCAGTAGTCACAGGATATAAGATCAATGTGCAGAAATCTGCTACAATTCTATACACTAATAATGAAGTAGCAGAAAGAGAAATTAAGAAAACAGTCTTGCTTCAATTGCACCAAAAAGAATAAGATACCTAACCAAAGAGGTAAAAGATCTATACTCTGGAAACTGTAAAACACTGATGGAAGAAAGTGATACAACACAAAGAAATGGAAAGAAAATTCCATGCTCACGGACTGGAAGAACAGATACTGTTAAAATGTTTATACTCTCCAAAACAATCTACACACTTAATGCATTCCCTACTAAAATACCAATAGCATTTTTCACAGAACTAGAACAAAAAAACCCTACCATTTATATGGAACCACAGAAGACCCCCAAACTGCCAAAGTAATTTTGAAAGACAAAAGCAAAGCTGGAGGTCTCGCAATTCTAGATTTCAAGCTAAATCACAGAGCTGTAGTGATAAAAACGTTATGGTCCTGGCATGTAAAATAGACACAGAGATCAATGGAATAGAATAGAAAACCCAGAAATAAAGCCACAACTATATGATCATCTAAACTTTGACAAAGCAGGAAAGATTATCCAATGGGAAAAAGATAGTCTCTTCTTTTTTTTTTTTTAATATATGAAATTTATTGTCAAATTGGTTTCCATACAACACCCAGTGCTCATCCCAAAAGATGCCCTCCTCAATACCCATCACCCACCCACTCCTCCCTCCCGCCCCCCATCAGCCCTCAGTTCTCAGTTTTTAAGAGTCTCTTATGCTTTGGCTCTCTCCCACTCTAACCTCTCTTTTTTTTTATTTTTTATTTTTTTTCCTGCCTCTCCCCCATGGGTTTCTGTTAAGTTTCTCAGGATCCACATAAGAGTGAAAACATATGGTATCTGTCTTTCTCTGTATGGCTTATTTCACTTAGCATTACACTCTCCAGTTCCATCCATGTTGCTACAAAGGGCCAGATTTCATTCTTTCTCATTGCCACGTAGTACTCCATTGTGTATATAAACCACAATTTCTTTATCCATTCATCAGTTGATGGACATTTAGGCTCTTTCCATAATTTGGCTATTGTTGAGAGTGCTGCTATAAACATTGGGGTACAAGTGCCCCTATGCATCAGTACTCCCGTATCCCTTGGGTAAATTCCTAGCAGTGCTATTGCTGGGTCATAGGGTAGAACTATTTTTAATTTTTTGAGGAACCTCCACACTGTTTTCCAGAGCGGCTGCACCAGTTTGCATTCCCACCAACAGTGCAAGAGGGTTCCCGTTTCTCCACATCCTCGCCAGCATCTATAGTCTCCTGATTTGTTCATTTTGACCACTCTGACTGGCGTGAGGTGATATCTGAGTGTGGTTTTGATTTGTATTTCCCTGATGAGGAGTGACATAGAGCATCTTTTCATGTGCCTGTTGGCCATCCGGATTTCTTCTTTAGAGAAGTGTCTATTCATGTTTTCTGCCCATTTCCTCACTGGATTATTTGTTTTTCGGGTGTGGAGTTTGGTGAGTTCTTTATAGATTTTGGATACTAGCCCTTTGCCCGATATGTCATTTGCAAATATCTTTTCCCATTCTGTTGGTTGCCTTTTCGTTTTGCAACCAAAGTTTTGTTGATTGTTTCCTTTGCTGTGCAGAAGCTTTTTATCTTCATGAGGTCCCAATAGTTCATTTTTGCTTTTAATTCCCTTGCCTTTGGGGATGTGTCAAGTAAGAAATTGCTACGGCTGAGGTCAGAGAGGTCTTTTCCTGCTTTGTCCTCTAGGGTTTTGATGGTTTCCTGTCTCACATTCAGGTCCTTTGTCCATTTTGAGTTTATTTTTGTGAATGGTGTGAGAAAATGGTCTAGTTTCAACCTTCTGCATGTTGCTGTCCAGTTCTCCCAGCACCATTTGTTAAAGAGACAAGACAGTCTCTTCAACAGTGTTGGGAAAACTGGTCAGCTACATGCAAAAGAACGAAGCTGCACCATTTTCTTATACCATGCATAAAAAGAAATTCAAAATGGATTCAAGACCTAAAGGCAAAACCTGAAACCATAAAAATCCCAGAAGAGAACAGAGGCAGTACGTTCTCTGACACTGACTGTAGCAACATTTTTCTAGATATGTCTCCTGAGGCAAAGGAAATAAAAGCCAAAATGAACTATTGAGACGGCATTAAAAGAAAAAACTTCTGCACGGTGAAGGAAACTATCAACAAAACTAAAAGGCAACCTACAGAATGGGAGAAGACATTTGCAAATGACATATTGGATAAAGGGTTAGTATCCAAAAATATAAAGAACTTACACAACTCCACACTCCCGAAACAAATAATCCAATTAAAAATGGGCAGAAGACATGAATAGACAGTTCTCCAAAGGAAACAGAGATGGCCAACAGACACATGAAAAGATGTTCAACATCACTCATCAGCAGGGAAATGCAAACCAGAACCACAATGAGATATCGCCTCACACCTGTCAGAATGGCTAAAATCAAAAACACATGTTACAACAAGTACTGGCAAGGATATGGAAAAATGGAACCCTCTTGCACTGTTAGCGGGAATGCAAACTGGTGCAGCCACTGTGGAGGTTACTCAAAAATTAAAAATAGAATTACCCTATGATCCAGAAATTTCACTACTAGGTATTTGTCCCCAAATACAAAAACACTATTCAAAGAGATACATGCACCCCGATATTTATAGCAGCGTTATTTACAATAGCCAAGTTATGGAAACAGCCCAAATGTCCATCGATGGATGAATGGATAAAGAAGATGTGGTATATATACACGATGGAATATTATTCAGCCATAAAAAACAATGAACTCTTGCCACTTGCAATGACATGGATGGAGCTAGAGAGTATAATGCTAAGCAAAATAAGTCAGAGAAAGACAAGTACTATGATTTCACTCATATGTGAAATTAAACAAACAAAACAACAAGCAAAGGAAAAAAAATAAGAATGAGACAAACCAAGTAACAGACTCTGAACTACAGAGAACAAACTGATGGTTCCTAGAGGGGTGGGGAGTGAGGAAACGGGTGAAATAGGTAATGGGGATTAAGGAGTGCACCTGTTGTGATAAGCACAGGGTGCTAACGTATGGAAGTGTTGAATCACTATATTATACACCTCAAACTGATATAACATTGTATGTCACCTATACTGTAATCACAATAAATAAAAAAGTGAAGATAAACAAGTGAAATTAATTTTGATAATCCATTGCATTTAACCCAACATATTTAAGATATTGTCATTTCCAAATGTAAGTATTATAAAAATGAGAACTCATTTTTTTTTCATATGAAACCCTCAAAATCTAGGGGGTATTTTACACTCAAAGCACAACTCAGTTTGCATACTAAATTTTTATTTGACGTGCTTATTTCACATTTAGATTTTATAAAACCTAGAGTTGAAAACAGATTCACATATGCAAGATGTTCCAAGCATACTTAAAAGCTTTCCAGTAACCGAACCGAGCATTTATTTTTGTATTTAAATTTAAAATTAATTAAAGTGATACAACATGAAAAATTAAATTCCTCCAGTGCTCTAGGCATATTTCAAGTAGTCAACAGTCATATGTAGACAGTTGGACAGCACAGCTCAAAGATACGTGGAGGCAGTGAGAGGCAGCTGTGGGAAGCTTTCTAGCAAGGGTCTTGAGACAGACTGGTAAAGAGTCAAGGGACAGGAAGCGAGGCAAGAGGAAGGGGACCAGGAGGCAGCACCAGCATCTTCTCAGGTGCAGAGCCAAAGCATGTTACTGT